ACGGAAGTTTTGAGACGTGATACTCTGTTGAAGAGAAAACAAATATAATCTTAGACAAAGCTGTCTCGTTTCAAAGTTATTATTTTCTTGCTTGCAGCAAGTTTCTATTATGATTACTTTACTTGGCGTTGGACCTTGTCATAAGGCTACTTCCGTATCGCGATTTCCACATTGAAAATCGTCGCTGATGTATACAAACGTGGGGTTTATAGAGTTGCATCAAAGTCACCGCAGCCGCATCGCCACAAAAATGGATTAAAATGTGTCTATATAAACGGCCCTTTGTTTATAAGTGTCTAACGACGAACATGTTATCAGAAGGACCATATAGCCAGGTTGAAATGAAAAAAAAAGAAGACAAACACACAAGCACACAAGCTTTTTTCACAAATACTGTACCTCAATCCAGGCAGATATTCCATTGCATTGTGGGTTCTTCCGTCCACCACCTGTACGGTGTGTTGGTGTTACCATGACTAAAGGTTGCTTGGTGTAGTTGCGTACCATTTCAACAGTCTAACAAAAATCATGCAAATATACTTCATTACTAGACAGATATAAAGATAAAAACTTGGCAAGAAGTGCAATGTTTTAATTTCATAAATTGCTTCAGCTGTAAGTTAGTTTCGAAAATACAGTACCTTGCAAAATGCGTAATTATCAGATTGCTGAGGTGTGTAGTCATTAGGGAAGTCAATGCTACCGTGTTCAGTGAACAATGGACGGTGTAGAATCTCAAATGCCATCCAGTACTGTTTGAAATATGAAGAAAAGCAATGTTTTAATCTCTTTCTTTTTTTTTAGTGAAAACCTTCGTAAAACAACAATTATAAATGTTTCAAGGAATGCAATTGCAGCTTTCGGGAAATAAGGATAATGTGTGTTGTATATTGCGCTGCCTATTTTTGTCGTGGTAGTTGGCCATATTTGGTTCTAGCTACAATACTTTGTTCCTTTTCCTAAAAATCAGTTTTTCAGATTCCAATTTGATCATGGATGGAGGATAAGTGCACACTTACTTCATTTTGCACACAACTAATCCAAAACTTCCTTCTCACATTAGATAATTAGCTTACCACATTGATATCTTCATGTACGCCGTCAAAGTTCTGCAGTTCTCTTAAACAAACTTTGATCGACGAAGAACTAATATCCTCTATCCAAACGCTCGCAGCATCATGTTTCAGGCCTCTTCTTTCATGTTGTAGCGTAGCTAACACTGTGGGAGAGCTAGAAAATTTGCCCTGTATGCACATGATATTAATTTTATCAAAATGTCTGATTTACTCTAAATAAATACAACTTTATTTGCACTTTTGATATATTTACAAAAAGAAAGAAAGAAAAAAATAAATAAATAAAATAAATATATAAGAAAAATTAAGGGTAAAAAAACTACAAAAAATAGCTAGAACAGCTAAACGAATTAAACGTAACATTTYTAAACAATTCATTTTTATCAGAGGCTCAGTCAATCGTTCTCTCATTAGTTCAGAAATAGGTAATAAATATTTTGAATGTTCCACTGATTTTAATTTTATGCCAAAATACGATACATACCCCAGGAAACGAAATAGTCCTACATGTCGTACCAGTCCACCATCGTGTGAACCGTTCTCTTCCGGTAACTCCACCGTTAGGTGCTCCTTGATAGGCTATCCAATCAACTGATTCCAATTCATATGACGGATTGTCATTCCTACCTGTCCTGGAAATACACGCAGTAAAATTGTCCATATTCACGTTCTCTGTCCAAGTTACTGTAGCTTCGTGTACCTTGGAAGTCGGTAAAGCATTGACGTAGTTCACCGTCAGTTGGATATGTAAGGGTTTGTCGGGATAAAAAGTGTAGGGCTTGAGCGAAACGATCTCGCAATGAGTATCTGACCATGGAAAGTCTTGCTGGCGAAGAAAGTGTCTCCCCTTGTCCAATGGGAATCCTTTTGAAAAACATGCCAAAAATATTTATAAGATAAAAAATATATTTTCTGAGAAACGTTTTTTATGACATCAATGTTACCTTGGCAGCCTCCAGGGTGATAGTAGGTGAAATTTCCTCTGGTCCTACATATCTCTCTCTTCATGATGCACATGTTGTCAAAGGTTTGTCCATTGGTTGCACAAACTAGATCTTGATATGTGGGGCATTCAGCAATACACACACACTGGGCAACACCTGCTGACAATGCTTGGCAGATTCCAGAGTACTCACACGTTTTGTTGATGCATGGATCAAGGTCTAAACATATTATTTGAAGATTATGTTAAGGTAGATATCTTTTTTAATGTATGAGTGCAAAAGATAAGCAGTACTTACCACCAAATATCAAGTAATCAACAGTCACTGGATGATGCTTGCGATTCAATCCAACCAAGTCCTTCACACAAGCTCTAAAGTAAGTCCTCGTTATTTCCTATGCGAAAATGACAAATTTACCATTATTATTAACTCCGAAGAAGGACTAGCGTTCGGACCGTCAGTAAGTTTTTTTCATCTTTTCACGGTGTATAATTTACCTTTTTATCATTACTGTTTCATTAGAAACACCGAAGCAGCTCATACTAGTTTTTAGCTAGTTATCTCTTCTTATTAACCCTGATCATGTATTTGATATGCACTTAAAGCTTAGTGTCGTGGTATTTCATTTCTTGTTGCTGCATGGCATATTAGCAAGAGTTCTGAACTGAGAGCATGCACGCAGATCTTGACGCAAAAACCATAATCAAACTCAAGCAGTAATATAAGCCACTGAGTCATAGAGGGGTAATTCGTTATCCTAATATAGGATTTAAATGATTTGCATTATGCTCTTACCTTAAAAAAACAATTAAAACTACGGTTTCGAATAACTGTTATGAATACTTAGTGAGTTGGTCTACTTATATTGTTTCCGTATTTTCAATTGCTTTTATTTTGTTAACCTTTTGTTGCTTGTTTCGTTCTTATTTTGTTGTTTCCTTTCTCTTCTTTTTTATTTTATCTTATCTACGCGACGTAATTTATGATATTTTTGGAATTTAAGATTTGATTGATAMCTCGTTCCAGGCTACAATGGAGTTGTGTTCTGGTGGCACCGCGTTCACATTACTGCTGTCGTACTCATGACTTGGAGTGAGGACAATCGATGGAGGTGAAAAGTAGAGACCGGTAAAGTTGACGATCTGAAAAATTATAAGACACACTGTGTAAGCTGTCAATTGCGAATTAGGTTTTAAGGCTGTATTTTCTCCCAAGAATTATCAGTCTCACTCGTTTTTAGATTTGTCTCCAATATACCTGGCAAAATGCGTCGTTGTCTTCTTCACTCGGTTGAAGAGAATTTGGAAATTGAAGAGCAATGATCTCGTTATGAGGCCAAGAGAGTGGAACCTCAGTGAAAGCCATCCATACCTAAGAAGAAAAGAAGAAACCAAGTAAATAAGACAATAGGGAATTAAAAAAGCATGATGCAATAACATACCACTTCAATATCCTTGTGACGTCCATCAAACGTTCTTGCTTCTCTCAAACAAATCGTAAATTCATCTCTAGCGATGTGTTCTACCCAAACAGCAACAGCATCTTGCCTTTTGTTCAGTACGTTGTGACGGACCGTGATGAAAACTTTGGGCTTGTTTGTGAACCCCTTTGGATGGATTTAAAATAGCTTAAATAAGATGAAGCTTCAAATGCACAAATAATGTAGTATTGGAATATAATTCATGATCAAAGATAAGTGTTTGAAGACGTTCTAAGCTACGTGAATCACGGGTGTTGTATCGGACAGTGGCTTTCTCCCCAATCTGCTGGAGGTTTAGTTTTGATTTCTTGACTCGGCATGACATGTCAGTAGAGTTTGTTAGGGCTTTTTTTTCTTCAAGGGGTTTTCTATGGATTTTACATTTACCAAATTACAAGCACGCCCTCTCTTCGAGGCTTAAGTGCTCGGGTAGGTCAGGATCAAAGTTAGTGTTCTAATTTACAGACTCCACTTTTAAATGCATTAACATTTGGGGCTGTGACTAATTCAGCGGGTAGATTGTTCCATTGTTTTATTGTCCATGGTAGAAAGCTGTATTGTATATATGTTTTTTTCTCGAGAGGAATTTTAAAGGATCTGTTGTGATTATTTCTTGAGTTTCTTGTCAAGGGTATCAGTTCATTACAGAGATCTACATCAACTAAGTTGTTTATATTAATTTTGTACAGCATATATAACTAATCTCTGATCAGCTCTGCGCTGCTTAAGACTGCGCCAACCAAGCTCTTCCAACACAAAACCAAAAGCCAATGCTCAAACTTCCAGTTGAAACTGTAAGTTAGGTGTGCCCTGGGGTTGTTTTAGTTTATTGAACCAATTTAATTCATTATAAAAACAAAGCACTAAACTAACCTGTGATAGAGGTACGCGGTTACATTGAGTTCCTGTCGTCCAGTCGTTGAACCTGGTACTTCCTTCAGCCACACCTGATTCAGTCAGTTGATAAGCAACCCAGTTCACTCGTACAGTCTCCTCGAACCCATTCCCGCTCTCAACCACACACACCCTAAATCCACTCGTAGTTACAGACTCGGTCCACGTGAATCCTACGTCATGCACACGTGACGAGTTTGTTCCCAGGCTTAATGATGTGAAGACTTTCATTGGATCATTCCCAGTAAAGGATGATGGGAAGGTTATGTTCTCACAGGAGAATCCATCGACAGCTGAGTGTCCGATCGGTATTCTTCCTTGCTGTAACCCTTTAACAATAAATGAAAATAAGAAAAATTCACATTAAGATCTCTGACTTTTGTCTAAATGTAACCATCATATTTTATATTTGACATATTCTGTGCTGACATAACTTTAAGAAGTATACGTTAGTGGGTCAGTTGTGATCTAAATCTAATGCTTTTAGCACTCCTGCGTGGACGGCTTAATCTATAAGATCGACATTAAATGTATAATAGTTATTCTTAGGCGCATTTTTATAAGTTATTACTCTTAACTTTACGTTTTTGAACAAGGTATTTAACAGACATGGCCATATTTTAATCTTGTGGAAAAAAGCAGATTAATGTTTTCTTTCTTATTCACCACTCTATAGATATCTCGTTTTGTAGGTATTTCCCCCTTTACATGATAAGAGAGATGGCTTACCGCTCACAGCGCCAACAGAAAATACGAAAAGCAATATAGCAGCTATTCTTGCCATAGCTGATATCATAGTAAGGACCTTCACCCAAATGAATTATGGACGCTTGAGGCAACCTTACTTATAGTAATGACATTCAGTATGACGTACTTTTTCAATGTTTTGATCAACAGCAATATTCACAAAACCATACAACTTGCTTTAAGTCTGATAAACTCATGAGGAATCATATTCCAATCATTCAAATGTTTATAATGCTGATCGAATTTAATTTTCCCCTCTCTTAACCCATAATTTTGTAATTTCTTTCGAAGAAATAGTTTTATTTTCATCAGACACAAGTTTTGTTTTGTTTGTTGCCATGTGGAAGTATATTTGACCAAGTAAGAGTTTTTAAGTTCTAATTTATCAAAACTGAAACGTCGTGTCAAAAAATTAGTGCTTTCACTAAGTTACTAGAAAGTTTTAGAAAATTTGTCAATAGAACGTCGTTTTTTCTCGGTAAGTTTTCCCTTTATTTTCATTGGGTGCTCATTACGCCTTTTATCATCAGGGTTAAATTTCTCAAATCTAAAAGAGACATATAATGCAGTTTTTCCTAAGATACCTGAAAGTTTTTAAGAAACATGTAAATAGAAATTCAACTTAAATTGTTTCATTTTAAGCTGAAGCATAACATTGCAATACGAGAGATTCCTAAGATACCCAATAAGACCGCACCATTCGATCGGAAAATGATTTTTGATTGTTCCATAGTAAAGCACTGTCTTATTTTGTTAGCTTTAGTTTAATTGACTGGAACACCAATCTATTCTCATTTTAATCTTATGTTTTATTTTTTWAAATCAAAAACCATAAATTAAACTATGAAACTTGTTGCAAACGGTGCAGAATGCCTCAAGATACCGAAGAGAAATTACCAGAAATGAATGGGAGACGATGTTAATCTGCAGTTCGAAGACTGTGACTTTGCAACGGGCAACCCAGTAATAAGCTTAAACTTCAGGGGTATGTTTCTTTATTATATGACATTTAAAACGATATATAGTTTTATCGGGTTTTATTTAAAGTGTTGCGAAGAGAGAGTCTTAAACGAAACATACCCCTGAAGGTCTCCAGTAACCTTAATGTCTGGTCATTTGATACATACAATACATCATGAAACAATTCATAAGCAACTCCAGTCATCATCATTGATATTTCTCAAATCTAAAAGAGCCATATGCTGGTTTTCCGTTTAAGAAACATGTCAATAAAATTTAACTTGTTTCGCCATAGAATGAAGCATAACATCGTAAAACGAGTGATTCCTAAGATACCGTTGAAAAATTGACCTTGGCAGAAATTAATCATAGCGAGAGCAGAGCATGGATACCAATCTGTCGCTCATAGACTGGTCAAGGCATTCATTGCTTATGCAGCCTTTAACCTAAAAGCAAAAACAACAAACTTCTATATCTCTTTTTCCAGAAAAACAAAAGGATAAAGGTCAAGTGTGCATAAGGTTTGGGTTGCCCTCCAGTTACTCACCCCGCTCAAAAATAACCTTGAAATAGCCTCTGCGTTCGTTGAGCAAGGGATTAGTCGTAGGTACGGCCTGGGGTTCGACGGCGACTGATCTATCTACTGATGCTTTCTTGCTGGGATATTATCCTACGTAATCCATAAATTAAGGGTGGGTAGCCAAAAAAATGGGCTTCCAAGCGCGCGTCAAGCGTGGTAGGATAGAGTTAGTAGCTAGGTGCCTTTTCAAGCAATTATTCTGCAGTAGAAGCGGGTTAATTAGTGGAAAGGCTAATATTCAATACAATAAAGAGCAAAAATGTTTCAGCCCCACCAATTATGCAATTTAATCGAAGTATTTTAGATTACCAGTAAGATATTTTTAATGATGCTTATTACTGTTATTTTAATTTTAATTTATTTTTTTTATTTTATTTTTTTTACACAGAATTTAAATGCAAAGAGTGTAGTGATCAATCATGCGATGGCAGCCATGGCAGGAGGCATAACAACTGATTATTTTTGTAAATTATGAAATTGATGAAATAGTGAAATTGATTGATGTCAGCGAAAACCAAATTTCAGCGCGCAGCTCGCAACTATCGAGTTCGCAGAATATGGAAAACTGCAGTAAATTATACCAGATTTAATTGTTTCTGCCTCCTGTCATGGCTGTCATCGCATAATGGTGCGAAGCCTCTATGACTATTAATAGATATATTATGTTTCATCTGCAGCTATGTTCCAGTGATTTAGTGAGAAAATCATACTTTCTTAAAAAAACTTTCGTTCAGTTGCACTTAACGTATGCATCTACGTTTTGTGTACAGATGTATTTTCGGCGTCTGCGATAATTATAATTATAGTTGTAATTGTATGTACTAGTGTATGTAGGACCGGTAGAACATTCTTGAAGCCTCTTTTCGCTTCCTCCACAAATAAAGCGGTACACTTTCCCAGGTGCTCGGCCGACCCGTGCTCTCGTGAATGCTGATAAGGCATTTCTAAAGCCCAGCTGCTTACATGCAATATGTGCATGTTTCATGTTCCAGTTATAGTTGCACAAAGTCCCCCATCCACTTCCCGAGTTCACTTCAATACGTCCTTGGAAAGGACTAGATG